AAGGAGATGAAGATAAAAACTTTGATCCGCCGTAACTTTTTAACGAATGGTCCGATTTAAAAAATTTCTTCTACATTTCGATAGGTATTCATAAGCACAATAAAACTGCATTTTTACTTTTCCGAAATATTGAAATTTTTAAAATCGTATATTAGCGATTGTGGGCGTTAGAGGGGGCGTGGCACCCTTTTGAAACAAACTTGCGCTGCGTAGGAACTCCTAGAATCTGCATGCAAAATGTCAATCTTCTAGCTTTTATAGTTTCCGAGATCTCAGCGTTCATACAGACAGACAGACGGACAGACAGACGGACAGACGGACAGACGGACAGACGGACAGACGGACAGACGGACATGGCTAGATCGACTCGGCTAGTGATCCTGATCAAGAATATATATAGTTTATAGGGTCGGAAACGCTTCCTTCTACCTGTTACATACTTTTGCACGAATCTAATATACCCTTTTACTCTACGAGTAACGGGTATAAAAATATGAAGAAAGTCCCAAGAAACTTTGCACTGCCTGAACCTTTGAGGGGACTGGAAAATATTTCACAGCCTCAATGCCCTTATCGTCTACCCTAATGCCATTCTCAGATATTAAAAATCCTAAATACTTTATATTTGATTTCAAAAACTCACATTTGTCCATTCGAAGTTCCAATTTATTCTGAGTAAGCCTTTTAAAAATTTCGTCCAACGTTTCTAAATGCTCATTAACACTTTTGCTTGCAACCATTATGTCATCCATGTAAACTACTACTTTGTTGGCTCTAATCATATCATCGAAAATTTTATTAAAAAAACGTTGAAAAACTGCCGGTGCGTTTTTTATACCCATCGGCATTCTTAAGAATTCGAATTGTCCTAGTGGAGTTACGAATGACGTATATTTAACAGATTCTTCATTTACAAAAACATGGAAATATCCATTTTTTAGGTCTAACTTTGAAAATACTCTTTTGTCAACTAATTTATCTAATAAATCATCTATGTGTGGAAGTGGATAATTGTCTTTTAGCAGGGCTTTGTTAAGTTTCCTATATTCAATACATAGTCTAATGTCACCTGTTTTCTTTTTAACTAAAACTATCGGAGAGGCAAATTCTGATTCGCTTGGTCTTATTATTTCGTTTTTCAAATATTCATCTAATAATTTTTGTAACTTATCTTTTTCTGTATATGATTATCGTCGAGGACTGCAACTAAAAGGCTTTACATTCTCTAAACATAATTTATTTTCTGCTCTAATCTTAGGCTTTTCAGGTCTAATTGCTTTCACATAGCTGTTTTCAATTATTCTTAAGAATCTACATTGTATTTGATAAGTTGTGCTTTTGTCCCAGTTAAAATCAATGGTTTCATCGTTTGTAAAGTCAATTTTCAGTATTTCGGTTTCAAAATCGTCGGGTTCTAGTTCAATTTTTACATTTACTGTCTTTTGTTCTTTTATAATCGTTTCCTCTGTCTTTTTATTAACTTGTTTCATCTTTAGTTGTTCTATTGATTCATTATCCTGTCTCATAACTGTCTGACCTGTTGTTTCACCGTCTTGTCTCATAACTGTTTGACCTGTTGTTTCACTTTTTTGTCACTAAACTGTTTGACCTGTTGTTTCACTGTTTTGTCGCTTAACTGTTTGGCCTGTTGTTTCACTGTTTTGTCGCTTAACTGTTTGACCTGTTGTTTCACTGTTTTGTCGCGTAACTGTTTGACGTACCGTTTCACTACCTTGTATTATAGCCATTTGCCCTATTTTTTCATTATGATTCTTAACGACTGCCTGCTCTGCTTTTAACATTTCAGTTGACCATTCCAAAACGTTTTCAGTTATATCATCATCCAAACACTCAATATTATGATTGACCTCAGCGATAGGCAATGACAGCTCTTTAGAAGGCTGTTTTAAATTATGTTTTGATACCTTTTCTACCGTTATCATCTTTAGAGTTCTTAAATCTAAATGTAAATCGCAAGCTTGCATGAAATTCCTACCTAAAACCACATCATGGATCATAGACTCATTGGCAACAACCGTTAAATTTAAGTAACATTTTATTTTTCCTTTCAGTACAAAACATACAATTTTTCCGTATATTTTTAATGGGCTTTTGTTTATGCCAAAAAATTGTTCGGTGACTTTCTGTAGTTGGGCCTCAGTGGGCAACAAAGATTTTTTTTATTAATGAAATAGGACTGCCAGAGTCTACGATGCATGCTGCAACCATAGGAGATATAATTTGATTGTCAAAATGAATGTTAAAATACCTTACATAATTATTTTCAGCTTTTCCCTTTCTTTCCTCGCATTGAGCTACAAAGTGGCCGAACTTGCCACAAGCGTAGCAAGATCCTGGCTCCCTTGCTGGTTTTCGACAATCCTTGGCGATGTGTTCTCGGCTTTGCAGTTACCGCAGCGGAATCCTCCGTTGTTGCTTCGGTTTGTAGGCATCTCCTTCGAAACAGACTCCTTAGGCTTGCTCAAACGGATACCAGCAAACGCACGCAGAATTTGCATAGGATCTGTGAAACCTTGGATCCGGGCTTGATCACGCAAATTCTGTGCTGGTATTCCCTCGACCATCTGGTCAACCAACTCGTCAGGCTCGATGTTGATGCTGCTTGCCAACATCGTCTTGGCTTCAAAATATGCAGCGAATTTTTCGGTATGGTGCCACTTCAAATTTTCAAATTTGCGCCGTGCTTCTGCTTTAGAAAGTTTATCACTGAATGCTAAGATCAGCTGTTCCAACAGATTCTCTGCTGGCTCCATGATGCGCGTTGCATTTGCGTGTAACCAACGCTGAGCGATACCCTTCAGTTTGGACACAATCACTATTTTCACGCACACTGCATCCAGGTTGTACAGATCAGCAATGTTTCGTACTTGTTGAGCCCAAATGTTTGCGCACGACGATCCATCATAGTCCATCATGATTTCTTTGGCCAAAGAAATTGAAATATTTGTCGACTGAAGTCCTTTGTTTACATCTGCCATTTGTCGTTGCTCAACACCCTTGCTGACATCGATATCAGCGCCAATATCGATATCGGCACTTTTATCGGTATTTGGTATTTTTTCGCCAACTGCTTCGTTGAAGTTTTCGCCGACTACTGCTTGCATGACTACTTCGGCGACCACTGCTTGGTTGCAGTTTTTTTCGTTGTTGATGACGTCACTGGCAACTGATTGTGACGCGTCTCTTATTTGTGCCAGAATGTTCTTGAGCTCTTTTTTTGCACATCCGGGGGTTTATCTTGAAATTAGGTATCGAATCGCTTTGGTTCTTTTTTCCACTGATTGGTGTGTTAGTTACAAACACGGTTGCCACTTCAAAAATTTTTTATGAGCCAAAAAAAGATTAAAAATTAGCCAATTTGAATATAAAAGAGACAAATTTTTACCATATACCAAATTACCATACCAGCGGAACAACTTAGTTTCGATCTGGCACTTTTGGGTTTTAGACATTAATCAAATTTAAAATTGCAAAAAAAAATGCATCAATAAAAAAAGAGTCAAATTCAATAAAAATGGGCCAAAGTGCCAACGCGAAAAAAAGAGCCAGATTTGGTTCAAAGCAGTGTTTGCCAATTGGAGAGCTTTCCGAGGAAGCGCAGGAATCGCTAAACAAATTTTATAAAAAATACAGATTGCTGAATACATTTAAGACATTAAGAATGAGGGGAAATTGGGATCTGTTCAATATGTTGTCTGCATCTTCTGATCCTCCAATTTCCTCATTGCGGCATGTTCAGCCAAGAAAAGAGTTAGAATCTAGTAATTATAGTCCAGAAATGTTAAGTCTAATGGATTTACCAAGTTTACCAAATTGTGACAATTTTTAAAAAAAAAAATTAAATATATAAAAAAAAATTTGTTTAAACTTAAATTTCTTATTTGTTTTTTTAGGTTTTAAAAATTAAAACATAAAAAAGAAACTAAACAAAATAACAACTTTTAAAAAATAAATTTTTTTTAAACCCCATTTTTTTTATAATTTTTAAAAGTTAAAACATAAAAAAAGAATCTAAACAAAACAAAAACTTAAAAAAAATTTTTTTTTGTCGGAAAAAGATGGATTTGTTTTTAAATTCTGACTTTGCCGATTTGTAAGTACGCCTCTGCCACTCTCTGTCTCAATCATTAATTTTAAAAGTGGATCAATTATCTATCATTTGCCGTTTACATCATTCAATTATCTCCACTGGTTCAAAAGTTATGATTTATTACCAAGTCTTACTCATTACCGCTTCACCACAGTCCCATCGCGCAAAGCGACGTACAAACCCTGTACACATCTTATTTTGTTTAGTAAAGGCAACCAAAACGTATATTCTTTGGCTGACGGCTTGGACATTTAGGGCCGTTTGTTAAACATAAAGTAGACTTTCAACTCGGAATTTCCATAAGTTTTTAAGGTTTAAAGACTACTTCAATTTAACATGCGAACGAAAATCAATTGGGGTCGAACCCACGACCCCAACACCTAATGTTCATATAGCAAAGTTGAAAGTGCAAGTGACGCTGGGCAAATCGCCATTGAATTTAGAAAAATTGAAGCAAAAAATTTAGGACAATTCGACGTTGGATTTAAAAGAGGTCACAACGCAGTAATCAAAAAAAAAATCACCCTAAAAATTTTAAAAATAGAATAGAACTAAAAAGAATTTTTTATGGTGACCTGCCTTGAATTTATGGCAAATTTGACGTGAACATAGAACATTTTTCTTAGTTTAAAGGCGAACATTTTTTTTGGGCGATTTTCCAAAATTTAGAAAATTATTTTTATGAGTGTATTTTTTAACGAGCACGGTATACCATTTTACTCTACGTATCTCAAACTCCATTTTTTCAGGGTAAAAGAAAAAAGTTCAAATTTTTTCCTTCCACTATACTGAAATTAAAGAAGCTTTTCCGCTTGGTAAAAGCTTAAGAGCCAGCTCAAAAGCTCTGGCATGCTTCAGAAATTTTGTAATATACATTTTAAACAAACTTTAAATCAGTCATAAAAAGTTACTAGATCAGATCGATTGTTATTGAGGATTAAATCAAATTGTTGTGGATTTAAAGCTTAATCCCACAAATTTTAATTTTCGGACCGCGATGATGCGCTCTTTGCCAATTCTTTGCATAATTTCGCAGTTTCTCTTTTTCTTTAAGACTTTAAATGGAAACTTTATTCTTCAACCAGTTTCTCAAACACTTGAAGGCTATGAATACACTCCACAATCGTTTTCGCAGAGTGAAAGTAAACTGGAGATCGTTAATGAATGGAAATATTTGGACTTTGAATATTCAACTTTTGTGCAACGTCAACAATCAATTTTGAATGGGTAACAAAAAACTTGAATTACGCGTTTTTAGTAAACCCATGGTTATAAGAAAAAAGTTCCCTAAAAAGTATACCTTAAAATTTAATAGCACAGATTAATAAACAGATCCTATAATAAATAGAAAATATGAAATAATAATTACAAAATGTTAAATTTCGGTTTTTTTTGCGTTAACTTTTTCATCTTTCCTATGACGGATCAAAATATATAATCGCCCGATTATTGTTAAATTTAATTCGAAATATTAACGAAGAGACATATCCCAGAGTTGAAGAGAATACAATAAAAATCCACGAAGATATAATTTGTTTCCTGTTAATGTTTATAATGTTATAAAAAATGTTATTCTTAAACGTAGGAGGCTACATGTCAAAGCACAACCTAAGATAGAAGCTATGTGATCTGTTGACCTGGTTTCAATAAAAGCAGGAAAGGAAGCTAGCTTCGGCCAGCGGCTTATATAACCTTGCAGATCATTCCTATTAAATACAAAATTTCAAAGTGATAAATTTCGTATTATTTTGACAATATTTGTTCTATCTTCCTATGGCAAATATATATTGTTCCGATTACTCTTAAATTTAATTCGAAATTCTGAATCTAAATCTAAAGTAATAATCTATAAAAGCCTCATAGAACAGATTAAAAAACAAGAAAGGAAGCTACCTTCGGCCAGCCGAAGCTTATATACCCTTGCAGATAAAAGAATGCTCACTCGGTGCATTTCCAGGGATTCCAGATTCAGCGTTTATATTTATTTAAATTTTGTTTTTAAGTAGTCAAGAATCAAAACGCCTACTTCCTACAAAGTTACAATGAATTTTCTTATATTTGTTTGAATATTTCTATGGGAGCCTTAAGATATAGTGGTCCGATCCGGCTCGCTCCGACATATGTTCTACCTGCAATAGAAAGAAGACTTTCGAGAAAGTTTCATCGCGATAGCTTTAAAACTGAGAGACTAGTTCGCATAGAAACGGACAGACGGACAGACGGACATGGCTAGATAGACTCGGCTATTGGTGCTGATCAAGAATATATATACTTTATGGGTTCGGAAACGTCTCCTTCACTGCGTTGCAAACATCTGACTGAAATTATAATACCCTCTACAAGGGTATAAAAAAATCTAAAAAAAAATCGCATTAATTTGGAATTAATTAGGAGCCGCGTGTGGGGTACAAATCAAAACAATAAATGACCCCAAAGTGCCACAAAATTCGATTTTTTTTTTTAAATTCTTCCTTTTGCTATTTCTTTGTTATAAGTGTTGTTAAAATGGTTTACAAATATGCTGTTCATAATCTTAAGGCGTTGCCGCAAATAACTGCATTTAAATATTTTTGGAAATTCTGCCTCTCATCAAATCCCCAATATTGTCAAATTTTGCTGCCTCGGGCGCCACGCACCCCTCCACAATCGCCCACTAACGATTTTAAAATGTTTCCTGCGACAACATCTTTAAATATATCCGAGAAGTATAAATGCAATTTTGTTGTGTATATTTATACCTATCGAAATGTAGAAGACATTTTTCAAATCGGACCATTCATTAAAAAGTTATACACTCATAGAAATTTTCCGGTAAAATCGCCCTAAAAACAAGGAAAATCGCCCTATAAAACAGGGCAAATTTGCATTTTTGAAAAAACTAACCCTAAAAAATATTTTCCATGGCGATTTTTCGTATATTTAGGGCTAGCCACCCGTATAATAAGAACATTTTTCGTAGTTTTAGGGCGACCTCGGTTTTAGGGCGACTTTTCTAGTATTTAGGTAAAAATTTCTGTGGGTGTACGCAATCAAAATTGTTTATATATCTATCTCCCTCGCACTCCCTTTAGCTGAGTTACGATTATAATTAGTACGGGACACCAACTCAAATACAGCGTTCTCTCTTGTTTTTTTTTTAATAAAACTCAAAAAGTAACTGTTATTTGTTGATTTTAATGTATAACCGTTATACTCTTGACATTTTTGAAAAAATGAAATAATAATAATAAAAACATGCTAACCATGTTTTATATAACCTACTAAAAATCTATAAAAAAGCCAAACGCGCATATTGTATACATCGCATCTACACAGCGTCCTGTGGAAGATCCGCACCTGGCCTACTTTTTATTCCGTTACTCGTAGAGTAAAAGGGTATATTGTATTCGTGCAAAAGGCCGTCTAGTCTGTCTGTCTGTATGAACGCTGAGATCTCGGAAACTATAATAGATACACGATTGGCATTAAGCAAGCAGATTCGAGGGACTTATACGCAACGCAAGTTTGTTTTATCAAGGTGCCACGCCCCCTCTAACGCCCACAAACCGCAAAAAGCTGTTGGCCCCACAGTTTTGTGTATAAAAAGTAATATGTTAGGGCTAGTACTCAACCCAACAAAAAGTCGTCCAAAACAAAAACTTCTTATGAAACAACATTTTTTGACGTTGTTTTTCATATGAAGTTTTTTGTTTTGGACGACTTTTTGTTGGGTTGAGTACTAAGCCTTAAGCAAAATCTAAATTATTTGAAGTGGGGCGCAAGAAAAACATACAAGAAGGCATATTTATGTTAAAGTTGTTAAGCTGAGTAACGGGTGTTTAATAGCACTGGTCGACAAAAAAAAGCAGAAGAATAAAAGCTACCAAACCTGAAAGGATTTTAGCTGTAGATTACTACCTCATACTTGGAAACTTTCCATCACGACAAAGTTTTGAGAAATCCGTGGTCAAAGTTCCAAATTTTCGATTTTTAGGCACTTTTTGCGACTTAATAGTAAGAAAACCCTTCGTAGCCCTGAGCCACAATTTAGCGAAAAAGGTACTTTGAACCTTTAACTTCAAGATTGTCCAATCACAAAAATGGGCGACCTCTACTTCTTTAGCTACAATGGATTTTACTGAAGTACTTTTTGTCACTTTTTTTCATCTATAGTAGCCTGATATTTTTAATGTATTGTATGTGTACTAGAGCCCTGCATGAATCAACAGTGTTAGGATCATTCTGTCACAGTACGTTTCATATGTTTCGGTGATTCGTATGATTCGAAGCTTCAAAGTTTCAATGTTTCGAAACATTATAGACGAAATATCTCGAAACAATTTGGCAGTATGTTTCATATGTTTCAATGTTTCGAACAATTCGAGATAATTCGAAACACTACGTAGGCGAAACGCCTACTGTGAATAAAAAAATGATTTTTTAAGTTATTTAACCAAAAGTCTACTCCAATTTGAAAATATCGTAAATTTAATATACAAGCAATGACACAAGTAAAAAAAATTGTTTTCTGGGGGACTTAGATTACTTCATAGTGAATATGTTCATGTGAACAATTGTTAATTAAATTTGTAGTTGCTATTTAAAAACATTATTTCATCAACTAAGGTTGGGTTGGATCCTATAGCACTTCTTTTTTCTGAGAGCAAGTTTCTGGCCCTTGAAAATACTCTCTCTAAAGCAGCGCTACTTGAAGGTATGGAAAAAATTTTTCTTGATAACTTGTACAAAGATGGGACATAGTTCTCATTGTTTTTCCACCAAGCTAGGACATCAAAGTCATCAGAGTATTTCACCTGTAAGTTTAGGTAGCGCTGAACTTCTTTTTCTGACTTTTCTTGGATGTCACCACAGGCCGATTTAGTTATATAATCGGAAAAGATATGTTCATCTCCAATTTCATTTAAATTTTCCTCATCCATATTTTCATTGGTTGCCGTCATCAATTCCTTACATAGAGCTATAGTCTCCATTTTTTCTTCTTGAGTGAATTGCAGCAATTGGTTGGTTGGCGGAAACAGGAAATGAGCGAGATTATGAAATTTTGAAATGTGTTTTAGTACAACATTTTTTATACCGTTTTCCAAAGATTCTTTTAGTTTTTTTGCTACTAGTGTATTAATCGAATTGTCACAACAAATTTTGTTTAGTTTTCCAATATGTGGTATGACCAAGTGTAATGTAGGATATTTTTCTCCTTCTAAAGTTTTGGAAGAATTTTCGAAGTGGCCCAATACTTCCGTAACGGAACTAAGGTCTCGCGAGTTAAGATCTCTCATTCTGCTTAGTTCATTTTTTCTTAAAAGTATAGCAGTTATATCGTTGAAGTTGGATTCAATTGATTTAAGTGTGTAATAAATAGTATTCCAACGAGTTGGGCAAATACTTTTTAAACTGGAATTTAGATTAATATTTTCGCCGGATTTTTTAAAATACTTTACAATTTTGCTGGATGTCGATAACATTAGTTCAAGTTCTGGAATATCCTTGAACGTTTTTTCAATAACGTTATTTAAAAGGTGGTTCACACAGTTAATGTGATCATAGTTTTTGAAGGCTGAGATCATGTTCGATCCACGGTCTGTGACAACCACTGCCTTACGCATGTCAAGACTAAATTCATTAAGGCAGTCTTCTACCTTACTTCTTATTTTTGCGCCTGAAATATATTGCATATTAATAACGGTTAGAAAAAATTTGACATCTTAATAGTACCTGTGCAAGACTCGCCGTTCATTGAAGTCATCGTAAGCAGTCGGTTAAATAGCTTATCCTCAAGAATATAATGAATTGTAACGCTTAGATATGAACGTTTTAGAAACATATCAGTCCATACGTCTGAGGTTATAGAGAAACCAAACGATCTTACTTGGGCCAGTTCCTGCTTAACTTGAGATACCTCTTTCTGATATAATTCCCTTATGTTGCGAGAAATCGTGGTTGGATGGGGTAGGCTTTTTTTAATGTCGACTGAGGACCCAAGCCGAGCACCAATTCGAACTAAAACATCTGCAAGATCCAAGTGGCCTTCATCTGCAACTATTTGGAAGGGTCGACAATTTTTAACCGACCATTTTGTTAAAGCTAAAGTAATTTCAGCTTTGGTGCTAGCGTCTAATACGGTTTCTCCCAAAGCACTAGATGACGGCGAAGATTTCTCCTTATAGCACTTGTGCCTCACAAGGTTTGATGTGTTCCCAAAGAACTTCATCACGCTGGGACACGTTCTACAAGCGACGAAACCTGGAACATCTCTGTTTTGCTTGTCGACAACTTTGCCGAACACAGACCAAACTTTGCTTCTTCCTCGTTTTTCGCTAATTTGATACTCCCCGGAACTAAGCTTTATTTGCACAGAATTGGGTAACTAATATTTAAAAAAAAAGGATTAGGTATATTTCTACATGATAGATATATAGTCTGGGGAGCCACAGAAATCGCGCAGCGGTGAGGTGGCGTAAATTTATATTGATGCACATAAGATTGCAACACCAATTCAGAGCTGCGCGATTTCTGATGCTACTTAGAATTTTAACTTACAACATCTGCAGGATCAATATTCTCCATTTTTAGCCCCAGCACAGACAAACTGAATTGCTCTACAATATTATACACAGTAGCCCCTTTGCCTACTTTGATGTTTCGAAACATCTCGAAACGTTTGAAACATAGTCTCGAATCCACACTGTTGGCAAAAATTTTTGTTGTGTGTTCATATGATCCGAATCATTTGAAACATAGGTTTCGGATGATTCATATCTCGAAACTGGGAAGCACAGTAGTAACAGTATCCTAGCCTACTACGGTAATACTGTGAACGAAACATACTGTTGATTCATGCAGGGCTCTAATGTGTACGGGTCTCAGTTCAACAAAGAAAATATCAGGCTACTATAGATGAAAAAAAGTGACAAAAAGTACTTCTGTAAAATCCATTGTAGCTAAAAAAAATAGAGGTCGTCCAGCTTTGTGATTGGACAGTCTTGAAGTTAAAGGTTCAAGGTACCACTTCCGCTAAATTGTGGCTCTGGGCTACGAAAGGTTTTCTTACTATTAAGCCGCAAAAAGTGCCTAAAAATCGAAAATTTGGAACTTTGACCACGGATTTCTAAAAACTTTGACGTGATGGAAAGTTTCCAAGTATGAGGTAGTAATCTACAGCTAAAATCCTTTCAGGTTTTGTAGCGTTTATTCTTGGGCCAAGAAAAAGTCTTGATTTTGTCGACCTGTGTAGTCGAGGAACTCGACTACAGAACCCACTTTGAAAAAAATATTAAACAAAAATTGGTTTAAATTTTATAAGAGCAGCACAATCCCTTATTGGTTAAAAAAAATCTCGAAAAACAGGAAAGGAAAAAAGTTATGATAAAATCTATTCTCGACTTATAGGGTAAAAATTAGGACTTTTTTTAATTTTGCTTAATTTGCAATTTTAGTTTCCCCAGGCGAAGCTGCAGGCTACCGACATAAAAGGCATAACCACGGTTGCCAGATTTGGCTCTTTTTTTCGCGTTGGCTCTTTGGCCAATTTTTATTGAATTTGGCTCTTTTTTGCTAATAGCTATAAAAATATTTTAGTCTTCAAGAAAACGAATTAATTTTTTTTATTAATCCATTTTTTTTGCAATTTTAAAAGTGATTAATGTCTGAAACCCAGATCGAAACTAAAGTTTTCCACTGGTATGGTAATTTGGTATAACGTTCAAATTTGGCTCTTTTTTATTCAAATTGGCTCATTTTTATTTTTTTTTTGGCTCAAAAAAATTGTTGAAGTGGCAACCGTGAGCAGGTTATACATACAATGTCACAATGGCACAAAAAAAATTTGGAAATATTGGGGACTTGGTGAACGAGGCTACATATCTAAAAAATTTAAATGCAGTTATTTGCGGGTATGGCATAAAATTATGAACATCACATTTTTAAACCATTTTAACAACATTTATAACAGAGAAATCGCAAAATAAAAAATTAAAAAAAAAAAAAAGAAACCTCACTTGTTTGTCAAACCTTAAATCCAACACCCAGAAAAAAATGACCTAAAATGTCAAAAAACGGCTTAGAAATAGATAAAATTGGCCTAAAACTGGAGATAAGTCCTTAAATGGCCTAAAATTTAGGATTCCATGACCTAAAATGGGGGCAATTTTCGGCCTTGATTTTAGGTAATTGGCTGCCTAAAAATATGAGAAAACCCCTATCCAAAACTTTAGGCTTTCTTTGGCCTAAAAATATGTACTGAAAAATGTATATAACTCGAGGTCAATGTCGGCACCAAAAAATCGACTAACTTTGCGATTTTTTCTATAAAAACTGGTTGGATGGATTTAATTTAAACTAGATTTAGCATCGTTTTATCGAGTCAAAAACGCTTAGCAGGGACTCCAAGTCCCTGTCAAAGTTAGCTCTAACATTGATGCTCGAGAAAGCCAAAATGCCTTAGCAGGGACTTTGTCTGTTCGAGAAATGTTAGCCGGCACTCGAGAAACCGGCCCTTAATGATTTATTGTATACAATAAAAATATATTTTTGTTTTTAAAATTTTTTTTATTGACAGAGACTTTGTGCCGAAAAATAATTTACCTTTGGGAATTGATGTCCATCAAAACCGTATGTTTGTTACAACACCTCGTTGGAAAGATGGTGTACCCGCAAGTTTAGGTACCATACCTTATCCTCCAAAAGAATCAAGTCCAGCAATAAGGCCGTATCCAAACTGGGAGGCTCATGGGAACCCAAATAGTCCTGACTGCTCAAAACTGATGTCGGTGTATCGTACAGCTGTAGATAGGTGTCATCGGATTTGGCTAATTGATTCTGGAATTGTCAATGCTACAGTCAATTTAAATCAGATCTGCCCGCCAAAAATAGTGGTTTATGATCTTAGAACTGACGAACTGATTGTTCGATACAATTTAAAAACCTCTCAAATCAAACAAGATTCCCTGCACTCTAATATTGTTGTGGATATTGGAGATCATTGCGACGATGCGCATGCTATTGTATCAGATGTATGGAGATTCGGTCTCGTTGTGTATAGCCTATCAAAAAACAGTAGCTGGCGTGTAACAAATTATAATTTCTATCCGGATCCAGTTGCTTCCGATTTCAATGTTTACGGCTTGAACTTTCAATGGCTGGATGGTGTTTTTGGTATGAGTATATCTTACAATGCACAAAGTATGCAACGAGTTCTTTATTTTCATCCGATGGCAAGTTTTAAGGTAAGTTGTGCAGGGAAAATAAATGTGTATCTTCCCAGTTCTATTACAGCTGTTTATAAATCGACCTCTTTCTCATCGAAGAGAACCTTTATTTACCGGTTAAGTACATCTCCCTGATTAAGAAATGGGCACTTAACATTTTATGTATAGTGTCAACTTTTTTTAAGGAGTAAAAAACGTTTTTGGCAGGGACCGTAACTGTTATAAGTTTTATTTCTTAATTCACATCTTAACACTTATTTTCGAATTTCTAAGAAGGCATAACTGTTGTTTGCTAAGTTATATAATAAAAGCTGAACAAGAAAGAAAGTTAACTTCGGCCAGCCGAAGCTTAAGTAACCTTGCAGGTATGCGTACTTAAAATGTTTTTTTTACAATGTCAAAAATCACAACGCTTACTTTCTACAAAGTTACAATGTTTTTATACCCTTGCGAGGGTATTATAATTTCAGTCAGATGTTTGCAAAGCAGTGAAGGAGACGTTTCCGACCCCATAAAGTATATATATTCTTGATCAGCATCACTAGACGAGTCGTTCTAGCCATGACCGTCTGTCCGTCTGTCTGTTTCTAGGCAAACTAGTCTCTCAGTTTTTGAGCTATCGGGATGAAATTTTCCCAAAAGTCTTCTTTCTATTTCAGGTAGTATATATGTCGGAACCGACCGGATCGGACTACTATATCTTATAGCTCCCATAGGAAGGATAAAAAAACGTTAAAAAAATTCTAGCCTCGGTGTTTTTTTCAAATATTACCTTCTACTTTTGGGAATATACTTTTTTATATATTTCTGAATTTCGAATTAAATATTTAAAAAATCAGACCACTATATCATATAGATGTCATAGAAACGGTCGAAAAATTAAATGGAAATTAAAAGGAAAAACATTTTATCATTGTTGATTATTATCAGGGTCACTAGCCAAGTCGATATAGCCATGTCCGTCTGTCTGTCTGTCTGTCTGTCTGTCTGTCTGTCTGTCTGTCTGTCTGTCCGTCTGTCTGTCTGTCTGTCTGTCTGTCTGTCTGTGTGTCTGTCTGTCTGTCTGTCTGGATGAAAGCTGAGATCTCGGAAACTACAAAAGCTAGAAAGTTGAGATTTCCCACACATATTCTTGGGCTTCCTACGCAGCGCAAGTTTATTTCAGCCGAGCGCCACGCCCTCTCTAACGCCCACAATCGCCCACTCACGATTTTAAAATGTTTCTGGCTCCCTTTAAAGATTTTCGAGAAGTATAAATGCAATTTTGTTGTGTATATTTAGGCCTATCGAAATGTAGAAGACATTTTTCAAATCGGACCATTCATTAAAAAGTTATACGCAATCAAAATTGTTTATATATCTATATCCCTCGCACTCCCTTTAGTTGAGTCGGGACACCAACCCGAGTACAGCGTTAGCACTCTGAGTATTAGATAGTCGGGACCCGACTATAGCGTTCTCTCTTGTTTTAAATATTTCCGAATTTCGATTTTAAGTTTAAAAAGATGTTCGATCTTTTATCATATAGCTGCATAGAAACGACCGAAAATTAATGTGAAGTAATAGATAATTTAACATTTCAATAGAATGATCTGCAAGGGTATATAAGCTTGGGCTTGCCGAAGCTAGCTTCCTTTTTAGTTCTTTTGATTACACCAGCTTACTTATTACGCAGTTCATGAAACTATGATTTTCGGTTAAGGTACATCTCCCTGAGTAAGAAAAGGGCACTTTTAATTTTTTTTATGGCACAGTTTTTTTTGAAAGTGTACAAAACTTTTTTGACGCTTTTTTAATTTCTAACTCGACCTGTGATTAACCGATTTCGGCCATCGAAGACTCATTTTAGACGTAATAGAATGCCCTCTAACTTTTTTGTACACAGCATTGAGATCCATTCATTAGTTTAGAAGCTACAAGTTGTCAAAGTTGGAAAAAACGCAAAAATGCTGGCATAAATGGCTTCGTTAAAAATACACGCCTAAAAACCGAAATTAGTTTTATAACTTATACTGGTAGAAGGTACTTTGACAAAAAAAACAATATATTGATCATTACAATCAACCAGCTAATTGTATTTTTAACGAAGCCATTTATGCCAGCATTTTTGCATTTTTTCTAGCTTTTTCAACTTTGACGAAGTGTAGCTTCTAAACTTATGATTATAATTTCAGTCAGATGTTTGCAACGCAGTGAAGGAGACGTTTCCGCACACCACATAAAGTATATATATTCTTGATCAGCACCCATATCCGAGTCTATCTAGCCATGTCCGTCTGTCCGTTTCTATGCGAACTAGTCTCTCAGTTTTAAAGCTATCGCGATGAAACTTTCCCGAAAGTCTTCTTTCTATTGCAGGTAGTACATATGTCGGAGCGAGCCGGATCGGACCACTATATCTTAAGGTTCCCATAGGAATACTCAAACAAATATAAGAAAATTCATTGTAACTTTGTAGGAAGTAGGCGTTTTGATTTTTGACAACTTAAAAACAAAATGTAAATAAGCACGCTGAATCTGGAATCCCTGGAACAGGAACTTTATCTAGCTTTCTTTCTTGTTTTTGAACATAGAACCCCCTAGTTTTGGAAATACCATCTTTATAATACAATTCTATCAAAATTGGACGACTATATCATATAGCTGCCATAGGAACGATCGGAAAATAAATGGGAACATAATAGGAAATAAATAAGTGCTTCGATTTTCATTGTATTCTCTTCTACTCTGGGATATGACTCATTTTAAATATTTCCGAATTTCGGTTTTAATTTTATCAAAATTGAACTACTATATCATAGAGCCGCCATAGGAACGATTGGAAAATTAATGAGAAATAATGGAATATTGAAAAGTTTTGCGATTTGTTAATTAATAGGAATGATCTGCAAGGGTATATAATTTTCGGCTGGCCGAAGCTAGCTTCCTTTCTTGTTTTTTTGATTATTCCTTTGGGAGCCATAAGATATAGTGGTCCGATCCGGCTCGTTCCGACATATGTACTACCTGCAATAGAAAGAAGACTTTTGGAAAAGTTTCATCGCGATAGCTTTAAAACTGAAAGACAAGTTCGCATAGAAACGGACACACGGACAGACGGACATGGCTAGATGGACTCGGCTATTGAAGCTGATCAAGAATGTATATACTTTATGTGGTCGGAAACGTCTCCTTCACTGCGTTGCAAACATCTGAAATTATAATACCCTCTGCAAGGGTATAAAAATGGCCAAATCAGAAAATTTTAGAAAGTGTATTTAATGACGAGTGTAATTATTTTTCGGCACAAATAATGATATCGTGATGATATCAGATCGTCACTAGTTTTTTACCTCGTTAAAAGGCGTTTTTATTTGATAATTATTAGGACTATATTACTTATTATGTCTTAATTAATGATTATTAATGTTTTAATATTAATTCTAGGAGTTTATGGTACCTATGGATGTCTTGTTAAATGAATCTGTTTGGCAATCGAACAATCAAGAAAACGCAAAGTATTTCGTTTCTATTGGGGATCGTGGATATAATAGTCAATCATCTACTTCTGGAGTTACAAGGAATGGAGTAATGTTTTTTACACAAGTTCATCAAGATAACATTGGATGCTGGGACACATCCAAACCATACACTCGGGCACATCTGGAAAAACTTTTCGAAAATGGCACAAATCTAATCCAATTTCCAAATGATTTAAAAGTAGACAACGAAGATGACGAAAGTGTATGGATTATAAGTAATCGACTACCAATATTTCTATATAGCAACTTGGACTACGGAGAAGTAAATTTTCGAATTTTAAAGGCGAATGTAAAAAACATTATACGTAACAGCATTTGTAATCCACACAATAAGTACATAAATGGATCTAAATCAGCATTTGTGTTAATAGAAGAAGGTCAATGTTATTAAAAACAATTTATGAAAAGAGAATACATAAACATTTTAACTGTCGATTAAAGTAAAAATGGCTCGCATATTCTATATATTTACTTGGTTATGCGGTTATTCCACGACATTGTTCGGCTCATTCATTAGAGCAGGGGTGTTTAAAACTGCCCTATGGCAGTGCAGTTACAAACACAATTAAAAGAAAAACACACGCACGCGAGTAACGATTTACGCACAGTCATGAAAAAGACAAGAACACTTTGCATTGTGAGTTGAGAAAAAAAAATGGGTGCGTCAAGCCTACGCACGACAGAAGTGCAACTTGTAGTATTCTCTCGTTTATCATTTCATTATCTCTTTTTATACCCGTTACTCGTAGAGTAAAAGGGTATACTATATTCGTGCAAAAGTATGTAACAGGTAGAAAGAAGCGTTTCCGACCCTATAAACTATATATATTCTTGATCAGGATCACTAGCCGAGTCGATCTAGCCATGTCCGTCTGTCTGTCCGTCTGTCCGTCTGTCTGTCTGTATGAACGCTGATATCTCGGAAACTATAAAAGCTAGAAGATTGACATTTTGCATGCAGATTCTGGGAGTTCCTACGCAGCGCAAGTTTGTTTCAAAAGGGTGCCACGCCCCCTCTAACGCCCACAAGTTTGAAGATTATATGTTTAATAATTCAAGGACGAAGCATGGATTTGGTTTATTTCATATTTATTTACAAGTATACAATATTACATTAATAACGATATTACAATTAACAAGAAAGGAAGCTACCTTCGGCCAGCCGAAGCTTATATACCCTTGCAGATAAATTAAATACCTAAAGTTTAATGCTCACTCGGTGCGTTTCTATTTAAATTTTGTTTTTAAGTTGTGAAGAATCAAAACGCCTACTTCCTACAAAGTTACAATGAATTTTCATATATTTGTTGGAATATTCCTATGGGAGCCTTAAGATATAGTGGTCCGATCCGGCTCGCTCCGACATATGAACTACCTGCAATATAAAGAAGACTTTCGGGAAAGTGCCATAGGACTGCCATAGGACTGAGCTCCCCTGCATTAGATCATTTATTAGAGGCTTAAAAGCCACAAATATATACATATACATATATACATTTACTGAGATTTGTTTGGGTATATGGCATGGTCACTTAGAATTTAAACGTTAAATTTTAGCTTTATAATTTAAATAACTTTTACTGGTTAAGGGCCGGTCTCTCGAGTGTCGGCTAACATTTATCAAACAGATAATATCCCTGCTAAGGCATTTTGGCTTTCTCGGGCATCAATGTGAAAGCTAACTTTGACAGGGACTTGGAGTCCCTTATAAGCGTTTTCGGCTCGATTGAATGACAGCTGATTTCCAAAGCCAACTAAGAAGAAGAAACGAAATCACAGCTGACTTTTCATTTGAATTATACCCAAACAGCTGATGAAATAATCGAAGCACACCATTTCTTGCGCTTTACAGCACAATTCTGTGCGTTAACAGCACTCTGTAATTGTTTCTCGTTCAGATAAATTAAAGCAGTCGAGAAAGCGGATTTCCTTTTACGAACAGTTTATCTGGAACTTTTACAGGGACTCGAGAAACCGTCATTAAATCAGTAAGATTCAAAGCTGTAAAAATTAAAAGTGTTTTCTGCCATGAAATCAGACATTTGTAATACGTTTTTGTTCCATTATTTTTTCGATTATTCCAATGGCTGGTATTTCGATCCGGCTGGATCCGACCTCGAGTTACACACCGTTAGCTTTAAGACTGAGGGACTAATTTGGACGACTACATATATGTATATTATATACCTGCCATAGGAAAGTTCAGAAAATAAATGGGAAATGAATATAAACCAAACTATAGCTTCTATGATTTTTGTTAAAAATTGTCGTTATAGGGCTGCGAAACTGAAAGAGGCTGAAGAAACGGAGAATTATTGTGAATTTAAATGAACTTTATTTCGTAGGGGAGAGGTCTGTAGGTTGTGAGGGTACGAATTTTGTTGTCCCAAAATTTAAACGTAACAGTCGTCAACAACAGAATTGCCCATAACAGAACGGAGAGTGCTGTTATACTTAACAGAGATAATTTGACATATGTCAAATGTAGATCTGGCAACCTTGTAAACCGACAAGACAAATTTCCGCTCAACCAAAGCGTTATTTTACGTTTTGTTCAGCCAAGCTACCAGACGCATAGTTTAGCGAAAAGTTTTAAAGTTCACGAGTGTGCAACCATTACCACGCGCTCAAAGTCCTATAGTAAAGGCAATCGATACATCCGTGCTTGTAAGGCATTTCGCAATACGCGCAAGCTTTGGAAAGTTCCGATCAACAGCACGCGAGTGTGTGAAAACTACCTAGGTGAGCAGACACAACTGCAAACGCAAGATCGACTCTAATCGTCTTGTGCAGATTCCAGCAATCAACCCGGCAGCGCCAGATCGAGGTCTCGGCAAGCTGTGTAATTGCAGTTTGCGACCCCAAATCTCGGCAAGCCGCGGATTTGACGTGGCGCTCCCACAACTACGCTGCTGAACTTGACCGCTGCAACCGCGGATCTCAGCCAGCTGAGGGAGTAAACAAAGGAATTAGGCCAAGCCCAAAAGCATCTCTCCCTGTGGATATATATTTCAAGGTATTTGTAGCCAAGTCGTGCACTAGTTCAGTTTCGATCTAACTCTCCCGCCCATCTAGTTATCTCTGGATCAGCCCCTAAACGTGCAAGGAGCCAACCCGCTCTCCCCAGTTAATCGGCAAATTGTGCGTGATTGGGGCAGCGCTTGATCTGGAGCGCTGACGTACTCAAGGGAGTCACATAGGCTCGCGCGCAACATAGCCTCACATCGGCCTCGTGCACATAACCTCATTTCGACCAGCGAGAAGGCAAACACAGTGCGGCAGCAGCTATTTCTGGATATTTTGACCCTGTTCCGTCTCAAGCGATCAGCGGGAACGTCACGCTTAGGAGTATTTACCCAACTTGGACAATTAACGGCGGCAAAACACCGCACATGCTGCGTACCGCCTAATTGCGGTTATATTTAATTTTCTTGAACTAATTTTTAAGTAATTTAGAGTAAATTCTTTTCACAATATGATTTGACCCCATACTCATATTCTTTCTTTTCTCATTTAGTGATATTCAGTACACATATCAAGACATCTATGCTAAATTAAATTTATCAACACATATCACCTCATCCTAGCACTACAGTCAACAGGCCTGCGGACTTCGAGGATTGGTCGTGAGTAAACATCTTGTCTTTGATATATAACGTATGGTGTAAACCAACCCAAATGTAAAGTTTGAAAGAATATGAAACCCCCCACTTAGATTATAAGTGTACTGATAGGTCAAATTAATTACCGTTTCGCTTTCGTAAAAGAAATTGAGTTGTTTTGCGAGTATTGTAATCTGCAGTTGAGAATCATGTATTTGAAGTCAAGTCGTGTATCATGAAGTCATGTATTTGAAGCACTACAGTCAACAGGCCTGCGGACTTCGAGGATTGGTCGTGAGTAAACATCTTGTCTTTGATATATAACGTATGGTGTAAGCCAACCCAAATGTAAAGTTTGAAAGAATATGAAACCCAACACTTAGATTATAAGTGTACTGATAGGTCAAATTAATTACCGTTTTGCTTTCGTAAAAGAAATTGAGTTGTTTTGCGAGTATTGTAATTTCCAGTTGAGAATCATGTATTTGAAGTCGAGTTTATTTGAATTTATATAAAGTTTAAAATTATCTGAAATGAAGTAAAGAACAGTAACATGGGCATCTGAGTTAAATCGGTTTTCATTAGCAAGGGTAAGGGCGTTCAACATTAATGTGTCCTTACAGGTGGGGTGGGCCAAGCCGAAGAACATTACCATCTCAGTTCTTCAACAACATGGTTAACAGATCGATATCTTCTCCTACATCCAATCGGATTGTGTGTCTCCTTCCTGTAGCCTCCCCAACTCTGTCTATAAGTTTTATTGTGTGGCGGCGATGGTGCTTAAATATTGTTTACCCCATGCTTCCCCAACTAACATTCCGACCAATCCATGTATAGACATCCGACACAATAGTTCAGAAACTTCGTTTTATAATCTACTAGGAATTGCTGTGTGTCTAGGATATACTTTAGAACCAGACCAGCAGATAATCTAACGAATCAGGGGATTAACCTCTTAATCAATTTCAATTCAGGAGTAAGAAAGTCGAGATTTGTAGTTGTTGGAAAAATTCAACAATACCTCCTTTTTTTTCAATACCAAAAGTAAGTCAAAGGGAATATGAGAATTGTATTTGTTGGCAAGCTCAACAATACCTCTTTCTTTAATAACTTTCTTTAAATTTCAACAACATAAATTACAGTCAAGTTGCAAGAAGAAATTGAAAATTATTCTGGCTGGAAGGTTCCAGCAGTCTACTCTTTCATTCAGTGCGTCGAGCAAATCAGTCTTAAATTACAATAGAACCAAAAGAAGAAGATACCGATCAAAACTCATGTAATTTTATAAATGAAACCGATTTAACAAAGAAGAAGTCCCAATTAATCATATTTTAATTTCATTCGAAGCTAGTTCGAACTGTTCCAAGAACTCGGCCGAATACTAGACCTAGTACACGATCAGCCACGACAGCATCCAATGACAGTTCACAAATACCGCGTTCACTACGTTCTGCAGGCACACAAAGAGCAAGTAACATTTCAGAAGGGAGAATTCACGAACTTATTCTTAGAACTAATTCCTTAGAATCGTACCAAACCCGAATAACTGCAACCTTAACCGATCAAATCAACTCAGCAATGCAAAATCCGGTTCACCTAAAGATATTTTCATTGAAGATTTTATATATCGTGTAAATTCATTGACTCGTCAAGCGTTGAATGGGAACTTTGATTTACTATATCAGTACGCAAATCTTTTGTTTGTAGGACCAGCTTTGACCTTTTATTTGCGATGCCATAGAGTGTCTGAGCAAATGAATTGGCCTCAACTATGCTCTCGTTTGAGGGAAAGATATAAAGATCAGAAGTCCGACCAAGACATAAAAGATGCGATGCGAAGAAAAAAGCAGGGAA